TCTCCCACAACTTCAACACAGGAAATTTAAAGACTCAAGTCCAACAAATGCATCCTGCAAACTAAAAACTCTTTAATACCCGGGTTGGAAGGTGTAGACTATGTGCTGGTGTTCAACTGACTGGTACCAATAACCAAACAATAAAAGGAGCAAAAGTCTGGCACAGTCAGAGCTGCAGCTTCTCTGCAGCAGCTACTTCACCACATCTTGAACTTCTTCAGTTTCACTCCACATAAACTGGAGTCTTTAACCAACAGTGGCTGGCTTCAGTTTGTCGAGCCAACAAAGGTGTAACTTATTTAGCTCTGAACATTGTTCACTTAAGGTTTTATTGCACATATTCTGGCGCTTCCTGTTGTAATCTAACACCGCAGTAGTTAGTTTGAGATATTAAACTCGGAGGTACGTACCTCATAGAGAACAGTGCCGTTACCGTGTAGCAAAGGACCATAGCAGATATAAGAATGGCCAACCACCCAGCCTAGGTCTGAAGCTGCCCACCAAACCTGCCAAAAAGGGATCAATGTACCGAGTTGTCACAACAAAAATGCATGAAAAATTAAGTAAAAACTCATTTTACTTAAAGGCATAATAAATGTAAACAGAACAGCCAGTTGTATAGTGAAAATGAAATACCGCAAGTTGAGTGTAGGATTATTGTGTATTGTATGTTTAAATGGTAGAGGTCCTTTCAAGCAGAGAGCAGTCTGTCTCTGTATGCTCTTTGTTCTTAAGCATGGCACCACCTCAGAAGCGGATGCTTTATTGTCTTACTTCTCCGGGACTGAGTCCATAAATATTTGACATGGTCCATTTCAGCATCACAGCATAGCCTGCAGTGTCTCGCACAACACCCTGGGAGGGGGGAGATAAGAAAAACATTAAGACCGGTGGCAGGTACTGCACTAAGCAAAGAAGCACGGGTTTAATATCAATTTTAAACCAGCCACTCGGCGCTGCCTTTCCAAAGGGGACGGCATCTTGTTTCCAGATGACTGCGTCTCAAACCGGCACCCACCTTTTATTAGTTAATAGCGCTGTCTAAACATTCCTGAGCAAAATAGTGTGTCCTAACATCCTCAGCTATTGAGTGTGCCTTCTCAAAGTTATGGTCTCCCTACAGCAATAACTGAGAAATTCATGGGAAATTGCACAGGAAAAGAAAAAAAAAAAAACTGGCAAAAACCGCACTATTAAGCCCAGGAACTAGCCAGCAGGAGGATATTTTATATCATCTGTTGGTCAAAGACAAAATGATGCTATTTGAAAAGAGCCAGGGTTTTTTTTCCCCTCCATTTGAAATTGCCTGCAGGTAATTCGTCCTGCAAGAGGTTCAGCTCACACTCTGGAAAACTTCTGTCTTATTTATGTCATGTTGGGGGTGTTTAGATTGTGCCTGGACTGTTTTGCAGGCTCAAAGATCAGATGAGTCACACAGCTGCTGCATACAGAATGAGCAGCGTCTAGTCAAACACAGCTAAAAGTAAACCCTGTAACTCATCTGCATGTGAGTGTATGGTTATAGCTGCCAGTACCTTTGGCGTCCCAGTGGTCCCAGATGTATAGAGTACATACAACGGATGGTTGGAGGGCAAAGAGGCACAGTCATGTGGCCTAGCAGTGGCCATCTCTTCATCCCAGTCCAGGCTCAACTCGCGACTCATCGATACCCTTTCCTGAAGTATAAAGAAAAATAGAGATGACATACAGTCTTCACCAGATCTAACGTACCTGGCAGCACACCCAGGTATAAATCGCATGGATCTGAATGCACTCTGAAAAAGGGGAACTGTGTTAAAAATGGCTGTAATCCCTCAACGTTTAATCCAACTCTTGAATTCAAATCATGTCACGACTGTTCGACTTAAAATCCACAGTAGCATTCTAAAGAGGCGAAAACACAAAAACTGTGCCGTCATCCAAGTATTTATGGATCTAACTGCATGCTGCATGCAGCCAAACATATTTTGCCATTTATTTTGATTCTTTCACATCTGCGAAGATAACGCGATTCATTTGCTCGGCGACAGCCTCCTCCTGCTCACTGTGGAAGTTCAGCCGCTGCTAATGACTCGTTTTACGATCGCCGCAGGATGAGACAGTCACTCGCGAAGCAGCCGATCATATCTCCCAGTTATTTATTTGTCACAAAGTGTCACATAGATGAGCTCTCGGAGTGTGAACTATGAGGATCAATTCAACTGACTCCGATGGTTTTGACCATCTTGCTTTACTTGCTTGCCTATGAAGTGAGTCAGTCTCACATGCTGAGTAAATATATATTCCTTTATTTATATTATGTTCCAACTCCCATCTGTCATCGCAATCTGGCAAGCAGCAATCATTTCAGGTCATAGATTATTGCCCCTTACATCTGCTGCCGCTGACATTTCTTCTCATTTCAAACACAGACGTCTCTTTGATACTGCCATTAACATTTAATCACTTTTGGAGGGATAAAGAAATCCTCAAATCTTTTTTTTCCCCTCCCCTCCCTTGGCTTCCATAAAAGAGTGTCAAGATGAAGACATCATCAATATCACTCAGACTCTTGAGGCAAAGGCACATCTCCCACAGACATTTTAGCTCTCCTAAGCGCATTACTTTTTACTCACTTCACTGAAAGCACAGACAGAGCACCATCTTGGCTGATTTAACAACGCTTACCGAACAGCTACCTCCAGCTTACCGAATGCAATAATTTGCAAAGCAGCTGCAACCATCTAAAGTAGTGGTTCACAGATTTTTATGGCACTGAGCTGCCCGTGAATTTCTTGTATACACATTCCCTGTGTCCGACATGTATATAATCTCCCAAAAATCCAAACAGCGCTCTTAATTCACCGGATCCTTTCCTGACAGATAAGACCAGACAGGCGCAACAAGATAAAATAAACTGTGCAATGTTCATTTTATTTCACCACAGGGCTAGAGAGCAGTAGCTCAAACAGAGGCACGGATGGTAGCAATTCAGTTCGAGTAAAGAAACGACAATACTCCGCAATCTCCGTTAGAGGAAATGTTAAGTTCACCAAACATAACATTCAGCAGTGTTTAAGTGAAGCAGAACCAAACATCTGCTCGCCGTCACCGAGCAGCAGCTGAAAATGGCTCCAGGCTGAAGGCAGCACGGAAATACCTTTGAGTTCGAACCTGGCAACAGCCGAGAAGTGCAGGCTCCACAAAAATCCCTGCCTCCGACCGACACCTTCGATGATTTCAATGAGTCATTAAGTGTGCTGCTGCTTACTGTGGAAAAGGAAAATAACATTTTTGCTATGGTTTTTACCATGCTCGGCCTGTTGTAGATGAGGACTTTCGTGGGCCTGTGAGAGCTCATCTCCAGGGCCTTCTTCACCAGAGGGATGTACTCCACTCTTCTGCCTGGCTCGATGCCAAATGAGGCTGTAACCAACAGCTTGGGCTGAAAAACAGATCATTTGGGAATTTGGGTTCAAGTGTAACAAGCTTATAGCTCACTCAGGTATGAATCAGTCATTTTTCTGCCTTTCTACCAAACGAGCCATTACAGGTTTAACCTCCTAGTACCTGGCGTCCACATATGTGGACATCACATTTTGGGTTATTTAGACCAAAATACTCAATTTTGCTCTACAAGGGCCTGATATGCACTTACGAGGACATTATACTGCTACTGTTCTATCAAAATTTTTAACGAATACCCTCATTTGTGGCTCTTATTTTTCATAAAAACGAAAATAAGGTTTAAAAAAGAAAAAAAAAAGAAAAAGAAAAATCTGGTAATTCTTTGTATTTACGTTCATCGGGCCCCAATATGCCCAAATATCAAAGAGAAATTAAAAATGCATGCCGTGGAAGAGTTCGGGTCTTAGGAGGTTAAGTCTGCTCTGGTGTCCTGTCAAATGTAGTTCACAAACTCAGGGTTCTGCACATGATCTCAGTGTTCCTACCAATTCTTGGATTTGGAATGTACATGACCAAAACGGTAAAGGACACTTCTCCTATTTGGCAAACACATTTTGGTTCCAGTATTGGTTATATTCTCTTGAAAGCTTCTCTATGTTTCATTTCGGTAGGTTATGCAAAATTAATATTTCACAACAAATTTGTTCTGCAAAGCAACAGAATACACGGGGCGATCGTGGTTTAAGAGTTGGGAGTTCGCCTTGTAATCGGAAGGTTGCCGGTTTGAGCCCCGGCTCGGAGAGTCTCGGTCGTTGTGTCCTTGGGCAAGACACTTCACCCGTTGCCTACTGGTGGTGGTCAGAGGGCCCGGTGGCGCCAGTGTCCGGCAGCCTCGCCTCTGTCAGTGCACCCCAGGGTGGCTGTGGCTACAATGTAGCTGCCATCACCAGTGTGTGAATGTGTGGATGACTGGATGTGTAAAGCGCTTTGGGGTCCTTAGGGACTAGTAAAGCGCTATATAAATACAGGCCATTTTTTTACCATTTACATGCTTTATGCTAAACTGCATAAGCATTTATTTCTGTGTTAAAATGTCATAGTTTACTCTTAATTGTCCCCTAAGGAAGAAAGCAAAGAAAGAAAGCAATGCTCACTGCAGTACTTTCACATTTGTAGTATAACGACGTCTCTTCCACATTAATTTTTCTATTCTCATATTATTATTATTATTATAAAATCTCACTGGAGATGCCAGGGAAATCATTACCAGTGGTTCTGAAAGGAAAGGCGAGATCTTTGCACTGTAAATGAAAAAAGACACCTTTCTTCTGGCTCTAGTATTTAAGATGTCTTTAAGTATTTTAGCTAATGGCACATAAAAGTCAGAATTGTCCAATTACTGGTATTTGCAGTGATCCGCATCTGCTTACTTCATGTAAATACAGAAAATGAACAAAGACTTAGCCCAACTTCAGCCCGTCCCTGGTTTTTAATGAGTACGTATATAATACAGTTCATGCAGCCCTGTTGCTGAGGTTCAGAAAAAAGATCAATTTTAAGCAGAAGGTGAAAAAGCAGCGCCTAACCTTAGCGTGATTGATGCGGACAGACAGCTCTTTAGAGGCGAAGCCGCCAAAAATGAGGCTGTGTGGGGCACCGATCCGTGCACAGGCCAACATGGTGAACATGGCCTGTGGCACCATGGGCATGTAGATGACAACAAGGTCTCCTTTCTGTACCCCATTCTTCACCAAGACTCCTGCTAACCTGGACACCTGGATTGCAGAGACACATGGAGACAAAGCACAGATTTTTTTCGAAGTTTCCAATCCTTTTTTTCTTAAATTCCTGCATGAATTATTTTTAAATGTCTGCTCACAACAACCGTAACCAATATGCTAGCACAAAGCAGAGCTGATAACAAGGGTGGAATAGTCTTATGCATGCTGCATATGTTGTTGGATAATTAATGTAGAAAGAAATGCTTAATTTATCCATGGTCCAATTACTAATTAGCTTCAGTTGGAAACAATCTAGAAAGAAAGTCAGTATCTCTTAAATTTCATTAAATGTCATTAAGCCCTTGGGCCAAAAAGACCCTCAAAAAGACCCCCAAATAGTTTTTTTCATTTAAAAAAAAGAAAGAAAAAAAAGATTGAGTTGTTTTAACAGAATAATTGGTCCAAATATCAATCGACTCAGTCATTTTCCCTTCTTTCTTCTCTTTTGTTTGCTATCTATATGCTAATTATGGTTCAAACCAGCCGTCATGCTACAAAACTCTTGGCCAACTCTTTGATATTTAATGTCCAGAGAGCATTACAGTTTCTACTTTAACATGCTCATAATCCCATAATTTGTTTCATGCTGCAAAACAATGTCATATCATACTGCCATCTATGTCCATGTGCTGTTCAATTCTGCAAGCTCGGTTTTTATTAAAACTATTTACCTGGTCCTGAAGTTCCCTGAAAGTGATGATCTGTTTAGTTCCGGTCACCGGGCTGTCGTATATGATCGCAGGCTGCTGTGCACGGCCGCCTTCTACGTGTCGATCGACGGCATTGTAGCACATGTTTAGCTTTCCGCCGACAAACCTGACAGAGACATACACCTTCAAACAACAAGTAACGGACACATGAACAGAGACGCATGTCAATACTATAGTTAGCAAACATATTTCAGGTGACCAGTCATGTGCCAGCATCTTTACCAGCATATAACGTGGGTTTTTGCCTGGTTTAGAGCTCATTTTTTTAAAAATAAAAACCAGCCTGAGCCAAACATATGCAGCTGCTTTTGACAGTTGCACACAGTGAACCAATGTTCTTGATAAGGCAATCGTTTGAGCTCATTCTGGCACTGCGCATATGGATAAAGAGCAGCAGGCAGGTTGAGCAGATGGTGTCTGGGATCTGCTGTTTTGGAAGCCACATAGACATACAGACACGGTGGCCGTGTCCTTCATTTTCACTGCAGCACATTCAGACAGCTCTCTTTTCCTAGGATACATGGTATAGCTGACAACTCCACCCACAAAACAAAAGAAAAAAGAAAGGAATTTCAGTTTATACTATTCTCAGTGCAGGCTGCTGTGCCACATGCTGTTTTGTTTTACAGCTACATTTTGTTTTTTCTTTTTCCTGTAAGCATCCTATAATTTACTTTCACATCTTTAACTGTGGATGCAGGTATAATTACCCTTTTTTAATTTATTTATTTATCTTTTGCACATCGTAGGAAACTAACCACATTAATCACCTCACATCCTTTGATAGTTTTAATGGTTTCCAATTTTTTGTTTGTTTAATAAATGCCTGAACATGTCAGGCCAAACCATAACATCTGTTCTGAAAATATTACTTTTAAATATTTAACAGAAAAAATGTTGCTTTTAAAATCTGGGAATTTGACACTTTGTCATATCTAATTGTTGCTAGTTGGCTGCTTGGCCAAAACTAGTGGTGCTCTGAGACAATTTTTTTTTCTACTAACCCTTTAAGGTGGCAGCAACCTGATGAAACAACTTGTGTTTTATTTCTTTGATAAAAAAAATATATATATATATTTATCCTACTTTTTGGAGCTTCGGGGGGAGGATAGTACTCAACTTTTGGAGTACTAGTGCAGTCTGGTACTCCATTACAATATCCTCTCCATGCCCCCAACATGCACACATATACAATCATCATCACCTACGTACACACAGTATTGTTTACCCAAACATATATCATACTTCTGACTCTTGACTGACCCTTGATTTCCTAATTATTCCTCAAGCCTCATCTTGGGGACCATCCTTCCTCACTGACATGCCCATTAAGTTAACTGTTCTCACTCTCACAGGGAACCGCCTTAAATGTTCAATCATATTCTTTCCCTCTGTAAAAAGGAAAGAATTGCATTTCAGTAACTCTCAAAAAAGGTCCAAGGAAGACACAGTGGTGACCCAGTGACAGCATCATGAGTGGGCAAGGCTCAATGATGCACATGGGAGAAGAACGCTGTAGAATCAAATTGCCAAAAAAATTGTAATGCTAGTTCCCTTCTATGTTGTATTCTGTCACCATAGAAAAGTATCAGAATACACAGTGGATTGCCGTTTTTTTTTTTTTTATATATGGCTGCATAAAACCAGTCAGTGTCCCCATGCTTACCCCCCAACCACTGCCGAAATCAAGAAGAAGGGGGACATGAGCATCAGAACTGGACAGCTGGACAACAGACTCTGATGAGTCACAATTTCTGTTACATCATATGGATGGCTGGGTGCTGTGCATTCTTTACCTGGTGAACAGCTGGCAGCAGAATGCACTATGAAAAGAATGCAAGCCTACTGAGAGTCCATGCCTCCACATTTCTGTTTCGAAAGGGGGCTCCATAAAAAAAAAAAAAAAAAAAAAGGAGGCAGGTGGTCATAATTTAATACCAGACAGATATACATCCCACCAATTAATGCTTTCAAAAAGTGTTACCATATAGGGGTTCTCCTGGGAGCTTCCCTGCTCTAAATACCTGAGTCAAATAATCATCTGGGTAGTGAACTTTGCAGCTGTCTGTTAACAGCACCCAGGATAGTGCAATAAGCAAAAATGTGGTTTGTTTTCTGGGGTCAACGCGATTCCATAGACTTTCCATCAACAGCAGAGCCGTTTGAAGTCCACACAGTTCCTGAGCGTCACCCATTGGTTCTCAGCAAAACTACCAATCACAGAAGAAATAGGCGTTCCTCCAGGGATCGCTAACAACTTAATAACCAATCATAACAGAGCTGACGTTTCCCCTTCCTAAACCAACCACTCACAACAGGACAACCCTCCAGGTTATCCAGTTGTTAATCGTACAGTCACGCGCATAAAAAGAGTAAAATGAGGAAGCTATGATGAAGGGTGAAGAGAAAATAAACCACAATATCGTGGTTTCTATGTGAGTTGTCCAAAAGTTATTCATTACTAAGCAAATAACACCTTCGGGGTAATGAGATTATTGAGGGCGTGTGTCCTCTCTATGGGATATTATCATACATGAGAGAACGCGTTGATTTCACTCATGAGAGAGGTGGCGGTCACGCACAGGTTGTTTACCACGTTTCATTCCAACTCGCCCACACAACATTAAACACCAGCTGTTCTGCAGTTCACGTGTAGTTCACACTGAAACCTACCAGTTTGGGAACACCGGATCCTCAACGTGCAGAGTTTTACTCCACGGCTCAAACCAGTTTATGTCGCGCCCCACGTCAGCCCAAAACTTTTCAGGGTTGTCCCTGGCCGCCGCGAAGACTCGGCTGTACGCAGCATCAGACGCATGCTTTCTGCAGCACTGCGTGGGGAAGTGCGACTTAAAACTCCCAGATGTTTCACCTGCATTTCGCTTTGCTGCTGCACAGAGAGTCCAAGCAAACCTCCCGAGTGTCTTCTTCCGCAGGACAGGAGCGCAGTTATTCAGACGCTGGGCTGAGTGTTTTACCCTGAGAAGCATTGTTGCTGGGGGCGTTTTTTGAACTTCCACGCTGTTTTCCCGCGTCCCTCTTGTTTTTGTGTGCAGCTTTGGAGCCCGCTTCTACAGTTCAATGCTGAGCGACGTCATGCGGGCCCACTTAAAGGCAGAGGACTTCTGCAGAAATTCTTAACAAGTGCCTCAGGGAAGGCTGTGAACTATGAACTGGATGTAGTTGATGCTGCAGGAGGATTTTAAAACACAGTCAGCGTGATTACACAACACATAAGCTCCACCGCAGCTTTCTTAAACCAACTATTTTGGGTGGAAAATAATCCCAAGACATTTTTGTAACTTTAAGCAAGAATTCTGCCGTGCAGTGCAAAGAAGAGAGGAACATTGTTGATAGCAACTGTACCTCCTGTCCACCGGATTTACTTATTTATTTATTTTTGTTTACTTCCAGCATCATTAAATTTTAATTGTCCTCGAGGTAATATCAATACTCCCCCTTGAGTGGAAAAATGCAAATAGCCCCACATCTGCTAAAACTGATCATGGCGTGCATTCATTTGTTTGCTTGTGGGTATTAATGGGAATAATTACTCGTGTAGAGTCATTTAAAAGCCTTAAGAATATTTGCATCTTTCATTAAGCCGATTTTCCAATACAATCACAGCACATGAGCAGCGGCAGCAGCTCTTTGTCCTCTCAGATTGTGCCGCCTCATGCACTTCTTTCCCTATCACTGGTAAATACCCATAATACAGCTGACCCCTTGAAGAAGTGTGCCCCTCGCTAAATAACTCATCCATCTCATATTTCAGATCACCTGTTTATGTTTATATATGCTGAGCAGTTGCGCTGTCCAGTATAGGTGGTGCAATGATAGTTTCGTTATTGGTATCAGAACGATATCAGCATTATTAGATCGATACTTTCTTTAAATCCTGTGTGTTTAGTGTGTAGTTTACTGATGTCTTACATAGATTATTTTTGGTAATGAAAAAATATACCTCAAACGTGCGCTATGAAAAGTATCTGGACCTTCTTGTGTTGACTGTGACTTCTGTTTTATTTATAGCCTCCTACAGCACATTTAAACACAGAGAGATCCTTTAGAGACAGGAACATTTACATTGCTGTTTACATCTCAAAAAGCCCCATGGTATCAGATGGATACTAAAATTTGAACTGTGGCACAACACTACTTTCCACCAGAGGTGGCCAACTTGAGTTGGATTGCAGCTACTGGCTATATGACACTTGTCACCATTTCAGTAAAAGTGGGGGGGAATAAAAAGTTAAATCTTTATCCCAGCTAGCAAAAGATATCAGTAATCAGCAACTGATTGATGCCTTCTTACACCCATCACCTGCACGTCTTATCCTGCAGGTATTTGAGCATAACAGAACTATCATTTTCTTTCTTTTTCAGTTTTAAACTAAGTATTGATTCAAATCTCATCATATTTCAACCATGCTTTCTCCTCTCATGCTATAATTTGTTTGGCCAAAAGGTCTCACTAAATGACAGCAAGGAACTGCCATATATATATATATATATATATATATATTAGAGTAGCTGGTGTTGGCTGAATATGTATCATTCTCTCTGGCACCTTACGTGCATAGACCGCTATCTATTAACCACTTTCACAGGCTAATCAGGCCCTAAACTTTTCATAACTTTATATAAGCCCTCCGTCTTGATTTGATGTGATGAGTGTGAATGTTTTAAAGCAGAAATCAGCCGACTGCCCTTCAGAAACCGATGGAGAAATGATTCATCACTCTAGCCCGCAGTGTCAGTTTGAAAATCAAATTCGTTTGAAGATAATGATCGCTGTTTTACATTCTGAATGGGTTTTAGATGCAGTTGTCAGAAAGACTAACGAATGATTTCAGTCAATATCATTCATGGTTTTAAGTGAGTGATACTTCATAACGGTTTATTAGAGCTGAGTGAATTTACTTTCAGCAATTGCTTCATATACAAAATACTAGAGGCACCCAATCATTACAGGAAATAAATAAAGGTGAAAGCCATTACCCCTTGTTAATTATGCTCTTAGTGCATTCATGATAAAATAGGAGATGAGATGAAGTTGGACTGAGGTATATTTCAAGGCTTTGACAAAGCTCAATATACATTGGGATGTATTCATGTTTTCAGTTTGCAGAAAGCATCAGGATGGAATTATGATGCCGTCACACAATCAGCCATTACTACTTGACAAAGTAAATTGGTGCTGTTTCCCTGAAGGGGGCGTCAGTTGTCTGTTAGAGCTTGGGTGCCAAATTTGTTTCTGTCCATGAGCCACCTACAGCTCAGTTTGAACTCTCAAGTGCACCGAGCACTTTATCTTGAAAAAAAAAATGGACAAAAAAAAGACAAAACAATTCACAAAACAGTTATTTCCACTTTAGTTTCAATGTAAAAAATGTGCATTCTGGGGGAAAAAAACATTAAATGAGCCGTCCAGAAAGACATCCTGAACATCCTCAGATGTCTTAAGAATAAATATGTCTCAGTTTTCCCGCATCCATTCAGTCTGCTGTCATAAATCAAATAATAGTGTCAGCACAGTTCCAGCTCTGTGGCTTAACCACCTTACTTCAGTGTGATAAAGCAGGTCATGGCAAATGTCTTTGCCAGTAAGAAGACACTAACACTGCTGATCATTCAGACTTCTGGCTCGAATGAGTTAGTTTGCACAACCAATCTGATTGCATTGTCCATTCTAAACAACTCGCAGCACAGTGCTGACTGGTGTAAATTAAACTGAAATGTCCCTTCTTTCTCTTCTGTTTTCATCTTTCTGTCTCTGCAGAGCTGTCCACTGCAGTGGGCTTTTTAATGTGCAGATTATAGCTGACAGGCCATATGTTTCACACTCTGTATTAGAGGTTTAAATCCCATAGTGGTGCTGCCGAAGTGGGTCACAATCAGTGTGACAGGCTTTGTTCAATATAGTATTTGAAGGTGGGGTTCTCTGTGTGCTGGCCTGCCTGACTTCAGAAGGCCAATTACATTCACCTGCCACTTTATTAGTACACTTCATGAGTATCTGGATTCTTTCTGCCTTCAGAACTCTTGTCTTCATGGCATAGATTCAATATGAATAAACATTCATCAAAGATTTCAGTCCAGATAGCATGCCATCAGAAATTGTTTACACTATGATCATCAAGGGATGGAGATGGTCAGCAACAAAACTCAGGTAGGCTGTTATGTTAAAATGAAGCTCAGGTGGTACTAAGCAGCCCAAAGAGTGCTCAGAAAATATCCTCCACACCATCAGACGCAACCAAGAAGCTGAGCTATTGCAGGATGGATCCACGCTTTCTTGTTGTTTGCACCAAATTCTGATCCTACCATCTGAATGATGCAGCAGAAATCAAGGAAGGGGATGTAAGGGGAGAATCCCAGTAGATCAGCAGTTTCTGAAGTACTCCGACCAATGTCTGGTACAAGCTAGCGTGCCACATTTAAAGTCACTTTAAATCACCTTTCTTGTTCATGCTTAGTTTGAACCTTGTCTTAACCTTGTCTGCATGCCTAAATGCAATAAGTTGCTGCCATATGATTGGCTTATTAGATATTTGTGTTAATGAGCTGTTGAATAGATGTACCTAATAAAGTGACCATTGAGTGTAAATGTCCCACAACTGTCTTTTTTTCTTAGCAGATATTAACAATAAAGAAGAAAGATGATTTTCTGTCATATGAACGGAAGAACAGCAGATTAACAAACTCTCGGTTATTTCAAAACAAGGATCAGTTTGGTACTCTACTTCCTCCCCCTCGGTTATCCACACATCCAAAGTTTGGCCAAAGTTTGAGACCCACTCACAAAAGTGCATCTTGACTTGCCTTAAAACAAAACTTTAACTGTGAGATTCATAGTTTACACAACAGCCTGGAGAAGTGCATGCGCATCTCCATCCTTCACTTGGTTGTTCATACACAGGAAATTAGTTGCATCAACTTGTCTCGTTAAAGAATAAATACAATTTTAAAGAATTATCTGTCACACGTTTTTCAAGATGATGTTTTTTTCATTATCTGCCTGGCACCGTCTGATGGAGCAATATAAGCAACCCAGCTGCTGTGGAAAAGCAGCCTGTCATCCTAACACAAAATATCCAATAAATACTTTATTTTCGAGACGTTATCGCTCAACAGGAAATTTTCATCTCTTTTTTTTCCCACTGTGGCATGCCGGATGGATCACAGTCAGTGCGGCACAAGGATTGGAGTCGATGGTTGACAAATTTAATAATGGCCTGTTTTAATAAGCAGTTGTTACCTGGAAATGAAACCCATGTTATCATTTAGTGAAATACTTATTTCCCTCACCGTAAAACCACAGTCGGATATATTCGAGCTACTGTTTTATAAAAGCTTTACTCTCTGTGTCAACCAAACAAAATCTAACCTTTATGGATTTTATTAGCCTTTTATCAAAGCCATGTGAGTGATATTGATCTTTTTTACGAATGTGTGGCAGGAAAAGGAATAAGGTTCCAATTTTTCCCCAAATGCCCATATGACCTTACCTGTTGAATTCAATTTGAATGGGTACTGATGGGAATTGAAGATACAAATAGAACTTGCACACTGGCTAATGCTCTGAGCTTTGATCTGCTAGGCAAACAGTCCAGCCGTCTGTATTTGCCCTGTCCACATGGCCTCTTGCATCTCCTTCTGTGGAAGTGGAGGCATTTCAGAAATCAATTCACTTGCAGCTTTGCGGCTTAAAGACCAGTGCAGCATAATCCCAACCTCGTAAAAAAAAAGCAGACCTGTATTCCAGCCCATATAGATGGAAGCCTGTAATCTCGCCGTGCCCTCTTTCTGTGTGCTCTCTAAGCCCTCGCCCTCTCAAACCGTCCTTGCAGCCTACCACTCACCACTATTTTGCATCTGCACACAGCTGTGTGGGGCTGTTGGTGGATTGAATTTGCTTTTTTTCTTAAGGACTATGTGTTTGTAAGAAGCGTGCAAGTTTAGAAACTGTTTAATTCAAATGCAGAGGAAGCTGTTAAATATTTAAAGTGCTGAGGATGGAATTTAAATGATATACAACAGGGGTACGTTAAATTTATTTAATGTTTTAGATATAGCAGCCAATTTGAAGTGAAGTGAGGTAAAGAGGTGTGGTATTTGCCTCCCAGCTGGGTGTGGGCTAAAATATTTAGTGCAATGCATGACAAGATAAATGG